CTTATCAATCAAAACTCCTACTCTATTTTTATTTGAAGTTGTCCCTGTGTACCAGAGCTTGAAGCCGGTATTGTCCACCTCCTTCGCCTTCTGCCTCTTTCATTTAGTCTCTTGGACGCATAAGATATTTACACGCCTCCTAACCACTGTGTCCACTAACTCTCTTAACTTACCCGTAAGGGACCCTACATTCCAGCTACTTAAACGGATCTTAGTTGGCTCGACTAGCTTCCTTACCCTTCGCACCCACTAAGGTAGGTGTGTCATTTTGCACCACACCCGGCGCCCGATGTGGTGCGCCACTAAGGATGCGACGACCTGATCCTTGCTCACTTGACACCATACCCAGATCGCGACATGGCGCATCATGGGGGTGATAACCTATGCCTTGCTTATTTAACACCATACCTGGGTTCTGACATGGCGCGTCGCTAAGAGGGTTACGCCCCAATGGTATTATTTTGGGTTTTATCTCTATAAAAGTGGCTAAGTTTTTACATTGGCCCGCCACGCCTAACACAACCCTCCTCCTTTATCAGGGCTTGGGACCTACTATGCTGGGACCCCAAAGGCGCCACGACTGCTATGCTAACACCATAGGCGGAGTTTATCTATTCATCCAACCGTTCTAAAAAAACTCACCTCACCGCAGCACCATGACGGCTCTCTCCACCGTGCTTCTCTCTCCATCGCGCCTCCCTCTCCATTGCGCCTCCGCTCGGCCCGACAGCCCGTTTTCCTCCCTCTCCGCCGTGCCTCCCACCCGCTGCGGGCTTCTCTAGCGCATGGACCTGCCGCAGCCTTCTCCACCGTAGCGAGCTCCACGCCACCGGCGAGCTCTACACCGATGAACTCCATACGCCGGTCAGCCTCTATTCCCAAGCAGCAAGGAGATGTTGCGCTGAAAGCGCATGTTGCAAACGTATATTTCAGATATTTTAGATGTATATTGCAAGTGTTTCATATGGATATTACAAAAGTATATCGAGATGTTGCATATGCTGCAAGTTTTTCATAGGCATGTTGCAAGCGCTTGTTCAAAGTGTTTTATCTATTTCAGGCGTATGTTGCAAGTGTTTTGATCTGTATGTTGCATATGTTTCATACATATGTTGCAAGAGTATGTTCCAAATATTTTAGTTGTTTCATTCTTATGTTGCAGTAAGTATTTTTATGCTGCAAGTGTTTTATCTGGATGTTGCATATGTTTCACATATTGTTGCAAGTGTATATTCTAAATGTTTTATCTACTTTAGATTTATATTGAATTCAAGTGTTTCATGTTGCAAGTGTTTTGTGTTTTAAAGGTATGTTCAAAGAGTCATTAGGGCACGTCCCGGGTGCTGGGAGAAGGGGCACAACGAGCCGAGGGCTGGCAGATGGGGCGCACAACGTGCCTAGGGTCCTACGGACGGGACGTGCTCGTCCTCATCCAAGCTCCTGGGTCCCGTATGCATGGAGAGAGGAGGGGGTCAGGGGGAAGAAGTGGCGGACGTAGCCGGATTGCGCGTGTAGGGCGGAGCAAGGCGGACGGGAGCTAGGCGAGGCAGACGGGGGGGAGGGTTGGACGTGCGCGTGCAGCAGCGATACGGCGCAGCGGCAGGCATGGGCAGACGTGCTGGGACAACAGCATGCACGAGGCGTCCGGACACGCTCATCTGCTCCGGACGTCATGGCGCTAGTAACAAATCGACCTTTTAATTAAGAAAAGAAATTAAATGGCCCACAGAAGTCTAAATTCGGCATGGACGACATTAGCACTAAGGATGAAAACGGACGGAAAAAAACACCTCTACTGTTTTGTTTCCATATTTTTTTAGGAAACGGGAGCAGAAGGACAACCAAGAGCGAAAATGGTAGCGGATATACGGTTTTATGAAAATGGGTAAATACGATTAGAAAATTGATGGAAACGGACACTAAGCGAAAACTTTAGGCCTTGTTTAGATTGCAAGTTTTTTCTCTCTCTCTCCATTATATCAAATCTTTGGACACATGTATGGAGTATTAAATGTAGATAAAAAAATAACTAATTACACAGTTTGATTGTAAATTACGAGATGAATCTTTTGAGCCCAGTTAGACCATGATTAGACAATAATTGTCAAATACAAACGAAAGTGCTACAGTGCCAAATACTGATTTCTAACCCCAATTTAAACAATGCCTTAGCCGAGATTACATGTAACGTGTCTAATCATAACAATGCACATAGACAAGTGAACATGAATAAATGATCAGTTCATGCAAAGCTTGGCTGTTGCTGGGATGGTGACTGCCAGGCAACTCAGAAGACAAGCAAGAATGCCAGGCGTCCGATTTCTTGTGCCTGTGACCAGGATGCGTTGCCTGGCAGGCAGCCAGGAGCCAGGGCGTCATCCAAACAGGCTGTACTGCGTAGCAGCTGTGCCTGCACTTCTGCACCTTTGTATATTATATAAATAATGTTGGGTGTCTAGCTCTTAGCCTGGCTTACTGAAGCTAAGCCCTTGTTTATTTGGAGAAATTTGAATTTAGATGAAAAAAAACTAATTGCTTACAGTTTATTTGATAAATAGTGAGATTCAAATTTGGACTAATTAATCTCAAAATTAGAGACACTAATTTCCAAATACAAACGAAATGCAATTAGTTTTTTCTTTTCGTCTCCAAAAATTTTGGATCTAAACATGAAGCCCTAAATAATGTTGGGTGTCTAGCTCTTTTTGCCTTAAGCTTAAACTAAACAAGGCGTAAATTTAGCCTGTCTTGTAAAGGGGCTGGGGCCTGGCTTGGGCTGGCCCACACTCGTGGAGCCCCGGGGAGAACGCCCGTGGCGGCCGTTTTTGGCTGGCCAGGCCAGAGCCAGCCGCGTGATTCGTTCGCATCACCTCCCGTCCTGTTCGCCACCGCACCACCTCCCTTGCTTCCGGTTCCTCACCGCACCGCCCACAGGCCGAGGAAGAGGATGCCGAAGAGGACCGCGAGCTCCTCCGCGTGTTCGCCCGCCCGCGGGGAAGGGGATCCGAGCGCGGCGGTGGCGTTCCGTTCTCTTACGGCGGCGCGGGGCGGCTCCGGCTGCCCAGGCGCCGCAGTCGGGTAGGTGCTGGGCAAGGGAGCCGGGTGCCGCTGCTGGTTGTCGTGGAGGTGGGCCGGCGGCGCGGGAGCGAGCAGGTGGGCGCCGTGGTGGTGGTGGCAGCAGCAGAGGTGGATGTGGACGTGGTGGTGGTGGCGCGGGTCGAGGTGGAGGTGGGCCAGGTGGTGGCGGCGGCGGCGGGGAAGGCCCGGCTCTGGAGAAGAACAGCGTGTGATTTTGGAGTATTTTTCAGAGATGAGATCGGACAAGGGGATGGAGTATTTTGCAGAGATGAGGGAGAAGGGATTTGTGCCATCTGGAGGCGTGTACATGATCGCTGTGTCAGCATTGGCATTGGAATGAAGGTTTGCTGCTAGATATGGTTGATTGCGGTAGGAAGCCAGAGGAGATGTGTCGGGCTGGACGAACAGAGGAGGCATTTGAGGAGCTGAAAGGGAGGAAGCGAGTGCCATTGGACCATGGACCAGAGGATGTACTCAGAGGGGTGGCTTACCTAGCACGAGCCACAACACTGGGTGGAGTTCCTCGTATATTAGCCCATATAAAGCATATATTCATGGAACCCCTCAAACCCTAATCCCCATATAAGCATATTTGATGACAAAGGCATTTGACACCGCAACGTTTGACAGATATATGAACTCAGGTCTCAGGAGATTTGTTTTTCTTTGGAAGCTATTATTTTTAGTTGTGAACTAGGAAGTTGAAATTTGGAGCTTACCCGTGGGTAAGAATTACCCGTTCATTTTTATTTATGTAATTTTCTAGTGTTCAAACATGGAGTAATTAGGCGGGTAAGATTTTGATCTGGTCGGGTCTTTAATTTTCCATGGCAAACTTACCTGCAATTAGTTTTTTTGCATTTTGACATTTGAGGAGCTGAAAGGGAGGAAGCGAGTGCCATTGGAGCAGAGGATGTACTCAGAGGGGTGGCTTACCTAGCACGAGCCAGGATTTCTGGGTGGAGTTCCTCGTATATAACTTCATGGAGTGATGTGCTTCTGATGACAAAATTTGACACCGCACGCGTGCAGCCATGAACTCAGGAGAGAGCGTTCAGTCTGGGACCTGCAACAAGCCTCGCCTGAGAGAACTCCATGAATGTGTAGTAATTAGCTAGCTAGTCGTGTTATTTAATAAAACGCTGTAACTGCGGTGCTGCTCATTTTGCTATCTGAAACTTACTGTTCAATTCCCTCTCTTTGTTCTGTTCGTGCAAACGCTGATAGAGGGCGTCGGTATTTATCTATGCAGCAGTATGTGCTACTGTCTCCGTTTTCTGATAGTTTAAGAGGAACATGGCTAGTTCAAATCCAGTGTGTCCCAAGAATAGTATTATTGCAGTTTCAGCATGCAGTCACAAATGCATGGCTGGTTTTAGCCCCACCACTTGGGTTTGACGAAATATCTCAGAGAGGTAAACTTACCAATTTAGAGAAAAATTGTTTGTATCAAAATAAACCAGGCAACCAGGGGTTATTGATGGAAGCAGGCTAAAACTGCCCAGGCTAGAATTCCAGCTAGGCTAGAAGTTGACCAGAAAAAAACATACCCTTTATTTCTGGAGTGTGGCTAGGCCGGTGCCTGACTGGCTCTTTCCGTTCTGTTTGGTGTGTTTTTTCTTTATAAAAATTTGTTGAGCCTTTTTTAAAAAAATCGTGAAATTTAATTGAATTACGAATATTAATTAGTCCTAATTATGCCCGGAAACGTTATCAATTACGACTCGTTAATGTTGTGGTTAACTAGTCCGACGCGGACTAATCGTGGCTTATATACATACCTAATACCTAATACCTAATAATGGGCTGCGCATAATCCTTCGATTTTCGTCATTATTATCGTATATCACGCAGGAGAGAGAAGCAAGAGCGCGGCAAGCCGGCAATCCCATCATCGACAAGCGCCAACAACAACGAGAGGCATGGCTGCAGCCGGAGCCGCCCCTGTGGTGACCGGGCAGCAGCAGCAGCAGCAGCAGGTAGAGGCGGCGCTGTTCGCGTCGAAGCACGCGGAGCTTCTGTCGGAGGCCCGGGCCGTGGCGCGCGAGCACGGCGTCACCGTGCGCACGGTCGCGTTCCGCCCCGACGGCACCGCGGTGGTGCACGAGCTCATCGGCGTCGCCCGGGAGGAGCGGCTGCGGGGCATGATCGGCCGCGCGGTGGCGAGGGACGTGTCCGCGATGTGCCCGCGCGAGTTGGCCGCGCACCAGCGGCGGCTCCACGCGCTCAGGGCCGTCGTGCTCCGCGAGCTGCAGGCGAAAAAGGAGACGGCAGTGGCGGCTAAGGACGACGCGGGGGCCAAGACCAAGACCAAGACGGCGCTGGAGCAGCGGGAGACGGACGGCGCCAGCGCCGGCGCCGCCGGTAACGCCGCCGAGAGCAACAAGAGCAGGAGGACGGACTACTAGCTCAGCTCGATGATCCGTCGTCCTGTTGGTTCATCGACGATTCATCATTAGTTGGTTCTTTGTTTTGTTTTATGTATTGGCATATTTGCATTGATTCTTTGATTCATTGCTGTTAGTATTGATTAATGTCATAATAATACGCTTCCCTGTCAACGATTTGTTGGTTTTGAATGAAGGGATAAAGAAGAGGAGAAATAATCCTCACTTTTTTTCTTGATATATGCTAGAACGCTCCAGGAAACAAAAAAAAAAAAAGAGCTCGACATGATAGGTCTTTCTCTAGGAATAGAGCACAGGCCCAGATGAAACTCGATCGGCTTCAAGGACGCCGCGCCCCTTCGCTGGCCTTTCCAGCTTTCAAAAAGAAGAAGAAGAAAATGGACACCGTCAGATCGAATCCACGTAGAAAGATATTGGTCCGGTCCTTTCTTGGACATATTTTTGCCGCATCTTCCTAATATGAAAAGAAAAACAATAACAACACATCTTCCTCTTCGGTCAAAAAAAAGAAAAAAGGCATCACTGAAGCCCCTCGGATGGAACCAGGAAAATTGCAAAATGCTAAATACCACTCAAAATTTCTCCAGCATAATTTTATTTCAGAAAATGGTAGCTTCATCAAAATGTGCTAGACCAACGTGTAAATAAAATTTTCTTTGTCAACATCTAACGCGGCACTCAAAATAGCTCTTTTTCCGAACTGCAAAACCAGACCGCTGCCTATTTCCGTGGACGCAGGTTGTACTTCCGGGAGAACGACGTTGTGATAGAGTTCTCGCCGATCTCCTCCGCCACGACGATTTGGTTGCGCCTTCGGGTTGGAGGTGACCGCTCCGCCGGCGGCAGGACGTATGTTGGGTCCATCTTGCTGTCCACCTCGTCTGCCAGCTCGTCGAAGACCCACGAGTAGTCCCTCATGCCCTCCTCCTCCGACTCTGAGCCGTACGACAGCGCCCTCCTGCCGGCGTTCTCCTCCAGCGCCCGGACCTTCTCCACCAGCGTCTGGAGCAGCCCGTGGTTCAGCACTTCGTAGTCCCTGAATGATAAGTAAAAAGAAGTTATAATTGCAGCGAAGGCCAATCACTAAGCGTGTAGATGTACGCTGTGTAATATTGTAGCAGAGGCCTTTGTTTACAACGTACCTGTAGGTGAATACAGAGTGCAGGATCTGAACAGTGGCAGCGCCGAGGAACACCATTCGGACCAAGAACACCTTGGACATGACCCAGAACTGCTTGTCGAAGTCGTCGGCGCCAATTTTGATCAACCCAATCTCCAATAGAAGCGTAATGCACAGACCTGCGGGGGCAAAATGTTAGCCAAATGGGCATTCAAATTTAATTTAATTGATGATAACTTTTCAATTTCTGTAGTGAAATCATACCAAAGTAGAGCTGGCCCCTGATGCCGAACGTTTGCTTTGCGCTGGTGAGCATGTAGACGAGGAACACAATGCAGCAATAGAAGAAGAAGGCCTTGATGAAGCGAGACTCGGCTAGAATGGCATTGTGCAGGATGTACAGCTTGTCCAGAGCAGCAAAAATGTTAGCCTGCTTTGCTCTGAACTCTTCCTGTGTATATGAAAAAAAGTTCAGTAAATATAAGCGAACATGTAAAGTTAGTCATATTTTCAAAATGAGATATAAGAACGAACCTGTGCTTCCAGTATGGAGTGAGAATTTTGGATGAGATGCTCATGAGCTTGCCGGATTTGTTCTTGCCGGGACAGTAGCTCCTCCTGCTGACGCTGGCCAAACTGTGCAAGTTTCTGAATTGTTTCCCTGCCATTGATAGATAACTTAATCAATATTTTTTTTTCTATTAGACGTGCAACAAGCATTTATCAATATTCAAGAACAATACAAAAGGAACGGTACATATGAATATGAATATCATAATACCTGCTTTCTTCAAGAGCTTGTGCTTGAAAGCTGTGGAGCTTATTCAATCCATCCATGGCCTGGTTCTGTCCATTCAGTAGCTGCTTTTGGTTCTCCACCGACTTGCCAGCAACACTCCCAATGTCATCAGCAGTGCGCTGCAAATCCTGCATCTTTGAAGACATTGACTCACCAACATTTTTAATTTCCCTTTTCACATATCCAGTCTCTTCTTTTAGCTTATCCATCCCATTTCCTAGTCTTTCATATGATTCCTCAACGCGCACCATACCGGCCTCAATCTTCTCCTTCATCTCCGTTTGCCCTTTACTCAGTTCTGCCTGAGTGGTAGCGATCTCCTTAGACTGCTCAAAGATGGACTTCGAGTGAACCAGCACATCGTTGATCCGCTCCCCGACGTGCTTTGACGCCTCTGCCAGGTTGTCTGCTTGCATTTCGATCGATGCCAGTGTGTCCTTAACTTTACTGGACTCTTTGATGATCTGATCTGACCTCTCCTCGATCACCTCGAGCTTCTCCTCGGCGGACTTGGATGTCCTTGTGAGTTCATTGATGAGTCTCTCAGTGTTGTGCTTGAAAGCTTCCGCCCTGACCGAATGCCAGGACAAGAGAAAGATAGCGTGAAGTTTAGTACAGAAAATATATCATCAGCAATTGAATGCCAGGAGAGAAAACTAAACACTAAACTTACTGCAATTGGTGGCACAGGGTGTTGGTCTCCAAGAAGAACTCTAGGAAGACCTTGCCTTCCGATTCACTCAGACGCTTGCGGCAGTGCACCATCTTGGAGCCCTCTGCGCAGGACGGGAAGGGCGGCCGCCCCGAGTCCTCCTGGAAGCAGCCGGTGAGGTGCCACGCCAGGCGCGACTGCCTCTCCTTGTCGGCCATGATCTCGCCGCAGCTGGCGAAGAGCTTCCGGTACGCCTCCTGCCAGCAGTTCCTCGGCCCGGCGAGCTTGTCCCGCGCGTTCTCCAGCAACTTGAGCCCTCTGGGGTCATTGTTGGCTCCGTCCATGGCGAAGTCGGCCACCGCGCCGTCGAGCTCCATCATCGGAGCGCGGTCGTCGCCGCCCGTGGCCGTAGACGAGGAGGAGGAGAAGATGTTCCATGAGAATCCACGGATCCTCACGGGGCAAACCAAGATGCAGATCAAAATCACCAGCACAGCCCACACGTTTCTTGGCATGATTGCACGGGTAACTGATCTTGGCGCCGGCAATAAGTGATGTTTGTATCTTGGCAGCTTAAAATCAGCGGGTCAGCAGTCCCTGTGCCAAGAAAGAATCAGAGAAGGGTATCATATCATAAAAAACCGTCAATTTCATACATATTCTTATGTTCATATTGCTCTGGATTAAAACATCCAACGGGTCATCAAGAGAGTTCTCTTGATGTCGGTTATTTGTGACGTTCCTCAAAAAGCAAGTTATTTCAGAGGGAAAATATGATGAAACGAGTAACAACCTAAACAGAGTCGCTGCTGCAAAATTCAGACAAGAATGGACAAGAACTAGACGAAATTCTCCAATCAAGATTGAAGAACGAAAGGTAATTGCGGCGCAAGCAATGAGTTGTTGCTAACTTGGGAGGGCCTGCGGCGTGAATGGCTTCCTCTTAAGTAGTCGCGGTCACAGCTGTGTTTCTTCGCCGACAAGGCAGCAGAGGGAGATCAAGAGGTGGCTGTCACATCACATGTTCACATTCAGGGCGGGAGAGCCAATCAAATGTTTCCAAAAAAAAAACAGAGTCGGTTTGGACCTTTTGAATTTGACGCCACAGGTGAAAGAGACCCACTCTCACTGACAGGCACAAATGAACAACGAAGCGATTAGCAGCAAGGTAGTGGCAATATGGGATGGATGCCAAGCCGATGAGGCCTGGTAGATCTCCTGCCGTCTTGTTAATTAGGTGCCGTTCCCGGCAAGGAAGCTACAGTTAAGCAACCCGCTTAATTGCAGTTAAGTCGGCGCAAATGTGAGGCGGTGGCGCTGTGGCTTCCGCCGCATGCCTCGGCGAACGGCGATCGACGACAGCCTAGCGGCGGACAGGGAGGGACCAAACTGCCGCAATTCCTATTCGCGATTCCGCCGCCTAGGGGCCAGTCCATGTCAGCTGCCCAGGCACATTGGCATCGAGGATTTGTGCTCAGATTAATCCGACGAAGCACGCATAAACCTAAATGGCATTGAACTGAATGGAGTTTTTATTTTTATTTTTATATGAAAAATGACTGACTGTGAATGATCGAATCAAATGTTTCAAGAACTCCAGTTTCGTTTCCTACTGTAATTGTTTAAAAAGGACTCCACAGAGTGCAGTTTCAGAGCAAGGGGAGTTCTTAGGACTTGAACCAAAAAAAAAAAAAAGGAAGAAGAAGCTCACAGATTTACCGCGGGTAAGTTCGTCGATCCGCGTCGTCGATGTTGATGTTGGGGCTGCAACTGCAACTGCAACTGCGGTGCCAACTGCCAAGACGAAGAAATGAAGCAGCAGCGCAGAATGGGGATTCAGGGATTGTCCATGGTGTTCAGGTTCACACGCGAAGAGGCACGGCACCTTAGCAATGAGAACCGATCGAACAGCCAGAGACGAAGAGGCACCCGTTCCTGGGCTTGCTACGTGTGACGTGTCTACACTGGGCTGCAAATTTTGGTCACTCGTAAGTCGTAATGCTCATGAGGTGGACATAAATAAATAAATAATATATGCCAAAATAGTTCAACGCTACTCATATGTGCAAGCTTGTCAATTTGACAACTCAATGCAAAAAGTCACCGTGGTAGTTGCTTGGTTCACATTCCGGCTCGTTGTTTTTTTTTTAAGTTCTTACCCTCTCTCTTTGACAAAAGACACTCAAAAGAGTGCCTCAATTTTGATATATATCAAATAAAACAAATGATAGTATAAAAGATAAATAATATTCCCTCCGTTTAAATTATAAGCCGCTTTGAAATTTTTTGGTACATTTATTTTACTATGCATCTAGATATAATAATATATCTAGATATATAGCAAAATGGATGAACAAAAAAAGTCAAAGCGACTTATAATTTCGAACGGAGGGAGTAAGACATGAAACTACTTCTAAAAAAATAAAAGTACATCAAAGACTAAACCAAATTGAAGGAGCCTCTATGTTAATGAGAGAGTTTAGAAATTATTATGAGACTAATCGAACAAGAGAACAATATATACTTTTGAATTTTATGACGAACTAAATATTAAATCAAGGAGTCCATATCAAATATAACACTACACTTCAGATCTCAACAAAGCCAAACATCATAAACAGCATAAGCCTAATTTTAGGACAATAAATATTGCTGTTAAATTAGTCTATAATATAAACTGTTAAATTATTACTGCACAATATATAGATAAAGCCTAACTTTAGGGATTCTATAAGTAAGGTCCCAAACCTATGATTCAGACTTTTACAAGTTCTTCTCAAGCTAAATTATTCCCAAACCACTGATGCATTTAATTTAAACTATATACAGCTCAATTTCTAAGTGTGCGTGCGTGGGCGCTGAGTGCGTGGGGGAAGGGGGGGTTGTTGGATGCGTGTATGTGGTGTGCGTCGTTGTGCAATGACGGAGCCATGAGTTTTCAAGAGTCTGTGTTGCTTAGGGTATTGCTCTCGTAATGCCCCAGTAATCCTATTTTTAGGCCTGTTGCCCCACTTGGATCTAAGGCGTTAGTGGCAAGGGAGCCTGGGCAGCAGACCAGAGTGGCCGAATCCGCTGAACCTTGGCTCTGCCTTTGTGTGTACTCGTGTTGAGGTTGGCTACTTCTGGTTGCTTGAGAGTTGAGAGTCAGGAGAATCGGTTTTGGACTTAGTCAAATGGGTTAGATGGAGGGGGTATTTATAGGCTTGGCCGTCTGTTTGTTGGCCTAGTGACATTTACTACTCGTGTTAGTTGGTGTTGGGGTAGAACTCCACTATTAGCAAACACATCTGTTTTCTAAATTATTATTCTACCCACATTAAACTTTAAGCTATCTTAGCTTTGTTCGATTGAAACTTATCTAATTTTGACTTAATTTATTGAAAAAATCAAATAAATACACTATTGAAATATATGTCACGGTGCATCTAATAGATGTAGTTTGAAGCTATAGATGTTTACGTATTTTTTCTATAAAACTTGATTAAATCTTAAAAAAAAGTCTGCCTTTAGATAAAATTAAAATAACTTGTAATTTAAAACAGCGAGGATAGAACACAAGCATAACAATTCAATGTAAATTAAACTATAAGAGGATGTAAATGTCTCTCATTATTTTTCGTTGGTGGCCCAATTTGGAAGAAAGCTCACGTCAGCCGTCGAGCATGCTGATATGGCACACGGTTATTTCGGGTTCGAACCAGAAAACAAAACAAAAGCAGAAAAGAATATTTTATTTTCTATAAAATAAAAAGGAATAAACTCTCCCCACTCTGTTACCCTAACGAATCGAGCGCTCTCCCCGTTCCCCTGCCCCAGCTGACCGCCGCCTCGACGCCGCCACGCCGCCTGCCCCCTCCAGCTCCAGCCGCCACTACCTTCGCCTCCGCGCAATTGGCCGCACTCCTTTCCCACCTCCCGCTACCGGGTGGCGTAGGCCGGCCGGCGGCGCGGACGCGTGGAGATCCGCCTGCACGCGGACTGCTTCCTTCGCTAGGCGGTAAGGAACCCTATTGCTTTGCGTCGACGGATTCCTCGTCCGTGCACCCCCTCGCGGAATCTTCTCTTTCCGTCCCTCGCAAGCTATCACCCCCCAATTGGTTCTCTATTTCTTGCATCCAAAGTCGAGGTTTTTGGGCCCCCCACCGTGTCCGAGATTTGCCCCCTAGGGTTTACGCGCGTTCCCCTCGTTTGCTAACGGCAGGGTTGCATTACTGTTGGGGGTTTTGCTGCTGCTGATACGAGTAATTCCCTTTGCTCCGAGCGTACCCTAGGCTGAGTTTCGTCGTTCTGTGTCGTCCTTGTTGTAAATCCACTGTGCTTTAGGTGCTTTAGTGTGAGCGTGTTATAGAATCTCGCACCTTTCTGTTGCTTATTATAGGCTGGGCATCTGTATTTTGCACTGCGAGAAGAATTTCTCGTTTTGGTTGATCCCAAAGTCTCCTTTTTCCTCCTTTGTCTTGAGCACTCAGTCCTGTAGACTAGACTGGTGATTCACAAGCACATGATGTAATCTTGTTAGTGCCATTCATGGATATATGCCTGAATTTCGTCCATGATTGGTCCCAGTCTGGCTTTCTATTGTCAGTTTTCCAGTGTTAAGTTTGGCGTAGATGATCAATTTGAAGTCTTTCGTGGTTTATAACAAGCTCTTCTCTGTGCCTTATCTGTCAGATGGAAAGTAAGCGCTGTCAGGTCTCATGATTTCTTTTGGGAGATTCGGAGCTGTGGTGCCTGACTGACTCATCATCTCAGGGACACTGCCAAGTACAACTCAGGTTGGTATTTATGCTACTCTTTCGTCTCTTTCTTCCTCTCTCAACAAGCAAATCGTGTGGTATGTTCATTTCCTGGTTAGATTAGTAGCTTCTTGACTTGCTACATGGGACACCCTAAAACTTTTTGTAAGCCTTCACTCTGAAAATTAAACTACTGCTCTTTCTGGATAACATGTAATTGACTAGTGAATCCAGTGCACCTTTATAGTTTTGTTGTGACCAGGGTATTTGTTTGGTTCTGTAGTCTTTATTTGTGATTATCATTGACTGAATGGGTCGTCTAGTATCTTCCCTTAGGAAATGCGAAGAAAGCGTGGTTCAGTCTCTTAAGTTTTCCTGCGCATTGACCTAACTGTTGTTGTGGATAATGTAAATCTTGCACACAAAAAAACATTTCTAGTAAAATCTTACCGACTTAGCAATCCTATTTTATCTCGTTAAGAGGAATTAACTATGGTCAGTGGGTACACAGTTTTTTAGGCAATTTAACCTTATGGTTGTCATGTGCCTAAAAAGGTCACTGAGAGATGGTTGTCGTAGCGAGTAAACAGAAGGAATTCATGGGAGCTGATAGAATTATCTTTCTCATATGCAGGAAGGATTTTGTAAATGCCACTTTTTGGAGTTTCTGGCCTTTTGGTTTAGTCCTCAAGACTCTAGCTAGCAATTATTTAAAGAAACAAATGAAATGTTAATTGCCACCAAGTTGGCAAAATTCCCAGAAAACAGCAGTTGAGGGA